CTACACATCAATTCCACTCATCTTCAGTAAGAACGAAAGTGCTCAACATGTCTCATGTTAAACCCCTACAGCTTTTGCCTTCTCATTGTCAACTGGAGCTACCCACTAAGTGACTCCATGTGAAAACAGTTAGAAAAGGACTAACGAAAAAAAATAAAGTCACTTTTCACACACTAAGAAGATGAATCAGCGCACTGTTTGCCAATAAACTGACTGTGTACAAGTGTTCTAGCCAATTTTTTAAACCTCTCAACACCTCATTAAACACAACAGAAAATAGTCATCTTCAACAACCCAAAACTCAAACCCTAACACAGTACAAAACGCAGTCATCCTCCTTCACATCTTCTGCACCTGCCTGCCTGTCACATCCACAGGTTAGGTATCACCTTTAAACCTAAGACCAGTCTTAGCTCCTAGCTGAATACAAACCTGCCTGACAGAGCATAAGCATTACTACAAAATAAATTTAACCCAGTATCTTTTACAGCCAAACTTTACCTGCCAACACGACCCTACAGCTGAAAGAGGAAACAAAGAGTAACAGCGCTCAGCCTGTGTTAAACAGGACTCTTCGCTGGTCAGCCAAGGATGAGGAAGCCATGGTGGGATTCAACGTGGCACAGAGCTGAAACTTCTATAAGAACTACTGAGAAGTGCACGTGTCTCTAAAGCTGTCATGATGGAAACAGATTTTTCAGAGGGCATCCAACTAACTGCATGTTGCCAGTAGGGCAGCTGCATGCACCTTACTGAAACGCAGCACATTTATTTTTCATTTCTTTCAGCTCTGAAGAAATAGTGTGTGTCCTCAATGACTATGAGAAAAGGGAAAAACAATTTTGGAAAAATATCCTAAATGTAAGATATGGAGAGAATTACTTCTGGCCATTCTCATTTAAAACAAACCATTTTAGATTTATTAATCTTTTTTAAGACATTGGTATCTTGCAAACCTTTATGCATTATTTTTTATATTATTTTCAATGTTTGTAACTGAAGAAACAGATAATAAAAAAGGTTTTCCTGTAAGCTTTATTCTGCAATTCTAAAAAGAGGAGAGTTACCAATATAATTTTCATTAGATTATAAAACCCCCAAATAATACTAATAAAAACCCAGACAAACACATCCCCAAAAGCAGAAGAATTTGGATATCAATTAAATTGCCATGAACAAAAGGCGAAGTCAGTCTCCATTTCTACCTTCTAAAACTCCAGCAAGAATTATTTGCATATGTTAGGGAATATGTGACTGGTACTAGAAAAGTCAGAAACTAAAAAGCACATTAAATTCAAGATTATTTTGGCCTAAACCACTAGCATACGATGCACAGGCTCATAAATACTGAGGATGTAAGCACCGAGTCTGCTTCGTGCTCTTGCTACTGTCTGGTAACAAGTACTACAGGCTGCCCGACATCTCTCCAGCAAACCTGGTGCAGAATGCAAAAACTATAGAGTAAAATGTAGTGAATTAATTCTTGTAGTCTGACAAAAATACTGACAAGCAATTAGAGGACTTGCACCCAAACACTTGTTGGTGTTACAAAAACTAACACATCATTAAGAGAAATACACAAGAAAACACGGAATAGAAAGGCTTTAAAAACTTGCATTGAAAACCCCAACTAAGAAGCTTCTACTTATCAAAAACATCAAAAGTGATTTTTACAGTTACAGCGAAATTATTTAAGAGCATTCTAATTTGCAAAGGCACATAGAGTAGTTCCGTGTGTAAACAAGCAGTAATTTTCTCATTTACTGATGTTATTACAGATGTTTATAAAATATTTGAACTTTCAGAGGATTAACTGAAAAAAAAATAAAGTGTAAAGGCCATTCTGCATCTTAGAAAAAGGTATCCAGTTCAGCTGAAGCACTTTAGAAATTAAGAACATAAAAAACCCTTCCAAAAGTAAGTCCTGTGTAGAAATCAACTGAGGAACTGCACTGAAGAGAAAGTCTGACCAACAGATTTTTTTCTCCCCTTGGATATAGACGGCATCAACATAATTATTTCAAGTGACAACTCGTGCTGCCACATTTGCAGAATTAGGCTTTAATTAAGGATCTAATCAAGTGAAGACTATCACAACTGCCTTAGATTTGAACCCTCTCTCATGACTTTGTAGAAAGAAAATAAGTTGACGGAGACGGTGAGGACCCTGACAGCAGCTCACAAGTGAAGAAAACCTGCTCAATCATATCTTACTCCTTTAAATCTTAGCCTAGAGCCAGAAGACAAGAGGACACCAGGCTCCACTACTTCCAGATAAGTTCCACTCCTTTATTTGCCGTATTACCAGAAGTGGTTAATTATAAGGCAAAATATGTTTGATCGGATGATCATATTTACTGTAAGTTCAACTCAATTAATAATTAATCCAAAGGAACAAGAGTCACTAAAAATGTCACAGACTCAGGAGTACCACAACACATCCCAGCGCAGTGAATAAGGTTTAGATTCCTGTGTCACAGACCACTGTCCAAAAAGATGCATGTTCATAAGAAAAATGCATTTCAAATCCTCAAATAGCAGACAACACATACAACCAAACGTGTTTAACACTAAAACCACGCACTTGCTAAAACCTCAGCTACAACCCCAGCCTCCTGGAGCACATGACACTGCGACATGCCAATGAAGATACCGATTTCAGTGCTCATGCGCTCACACCGCTCTCAGATGTGTTTTAGGAGAGAACTGCCCCCAGGGAATTCCCAAGGAGTGCTCCCCTCCTCCAGCATAGATAAACCTGAGCCACTTGCCTTGGGGATCATCATTACTGACGCTGCAAGATTTAGTAAGGACCATAGTTCTTGTAAGCGTGCCAGGATCTAGCACATGTGTACTGGGTAACCAAACACACTCTCCTGCATTACTTCTTACCTATTCCTCTGGGTACTTATAATTACAGAGTGACTTTTCATCAGCAATGTTAAGTTTGCAAAATAACCTCCACACCATGCACTTTTACCACACCTAAAAGTCACCGCCTTCACAATGCCATGCCTTCTTTTTTTTTTTTAAAAAAAAAAATATATATATTCCTGTTCTACAGCTCTGAGTTTTGTCCTGTTTGAGGCAGGGGAGTCTCCTCAGTGTGTGTATGAACTCATGGTGGGAGGGAATGAAGAGGAAGCCTGACTCATCTCAGCTGTGCCTGAAGGCTAACGGTAATGTGAACAATTTGAAACATGTAAAATTTCATCTGAACGCAAGAAAAAAAAAAACATTTTTTTTTCCACTCTGATCGTGGTCAAATATTGGCACTGATTGCCCAGGGAGGTTGTGGATTCTCCATCCATGGAGATATTAAATACCTGACTGGACATAGTCCTGGGCAACTGGCTCTGGCTGACCCTGCTCTAGGGGTTACACTGGATGGTTTCCCTTCCGACCTCAGCTGTTCTATTATTCTGTGACTCTGTAAAAAGCAAGTCAGGAGGAAACTAGCAGAAAACTAAAGCCATCAGCAGGATTACCTTCCACACCCAGGAACAGCTTAGCAGCAGCATTCTGCTTCAAATAACTGGGTTCATACTGCTCAGAAAGCAACTGAGATGCTGGGAGAGGTATAACACACATCTCACCACGCTTTCCCTCTAGAAATCATGTACGATTTTGTAAGGCTTTTCTTGCACTTAACACACAAACTCCTGAAATACAAGGCTAGCTGTAAAATCTGCAAAAGGCAGGCATTTCACAGTTTGCTCTGGCAGGATGGCCTAGGCAGCCGGATCCCAAAGCCAAGCAGATGTGAGACAGGAACATCAGGCTTCACTCCAACACCTTCAACTTTTCACTAAGGCAACCGACTGCTCTGGCCCCATCTGGGAACAGAAGATAGGCTCTTTGCATGCACATATCAAAAAAAGACCCCAAACCACAAAACACATAAAACCTCATCATCAATAATAATAATAATCAAAAAAACCACACACAAAAAACTCCATCCCTGATGAGTGGCATTTTTTATTACCTAAAGACATATCTGCAATACCAGTAAAAGCACACTAGCTTCAGCTGTCCCTAAAGCACAGCAATTAAGTACACACACACGTGACTTCAAGGCTTTTTAGGTACAGTAAGATTATGCAGTAATTTGAAGAACAGTTGAATTTCAGAATTTGCTAAAAGAAACTGGACTACTACAAGTACTGTACTTATGAGCTACAAAAGACTATTTCTAAAAAGCCTGTCTGTCCCTTTTTGGTTTTGAAATTCTCAAGCAATAAGTAATTTTTTTCTACAGTTCTTCATACACCTGTATGGAATTTCTGTACTGCTCACATAGCCAGATGCAACCTACCTACACTGTAAGGAAAGCAGGAACACAGCTGCCTCCCTATGGTAAATTAATTTGCCCATAATTGGTGAAAGCATATTTTTAATGGAAGGTCTCTCTCCAAGTTAAATCTGTTTATACATAATTTGAGCCATTCCTCTTTGGTACATTCAGACAGAAATCTTCCTGACAACTGTCAATGATTTTTCTCAGTTTTACCTTTTTTTTTTCCCATCAAGTACATTTTGTGCTTCATTCAAAACAAGACACTGTCTTTGCCAAGCCAACAGCTGTACTAAGACATAAGAAAAAATGCTTTAAAGATACTGATGGATAGATAACCAGTGTGGTAGTTCCATACTTGTTCCCAGCATATGCAAAACATCTATGATAAGTTTTAAAAAAAATTATGTAATTGAAAAGCAGCTTTGTTGCTCTCTGCTTTAACATCGTGAACGAATAGAGTTATTCTCGACAGTTATACTGTGATCTAGACAAAAGGAATGTAATTGCAACTGTCTTTCTACAATTCACATTGCTGAAGATTAATAAGTTAAAAAGCATGGCAGTAAGAGTAACCAAGCCATCAGGGTCAAGGAAAGAGAATAATAGGGTGTTTTACAGAAGTTTTCATCTCTGCTGCCCACCTAGCCTTCAGAATTATGGATATGGCAACCTTTCAGGCACAGTACAAATGAAAGTCCATGGAAAAAAAACAAAACCAAACAATGGCAGCCATCTACAAAAGATGACACAGACTGAGTTGAAACATGAAGCAAACAAACATGGAGGAAAGATGGTATACACCGCATTAGGTAGTCACAACTCGACCACAAGATAAGATTCCGGAAATAAAAGAAACCCTTGAGTAGTTTCCCACCTGATACAGTTTGCATTGAGTTTACTCACCTGATCTGTTGCAATGAAATAGGTGTTTTAATCTGCTGATAATAATCAGGATACTTTTTCTTGGAGGGCAAATGGAAAAAAGGTTCAGAGATGAGCTGGCCTTGATTATTTCGGCAACTTCTAACTGTGTCATAAAGCTGATAAAGAGGATTAGAAGTGTCCATGAAGGAAGTAATGCTCTCAGCTTCAGATTCTCCCTCTTCATAACGAGCAGCAGCTGCACAGACAGAAAGAAAAAATGTGAAACACAGCAGGAAAACCTGAAGTGGTTTTTTTGTTGTTGACTTTTCAAATAGATAAAGATCTAAACCAGAAAAAAAAGGCAGTCCCTCAATTGAGGGTGTTCAGCCACTCTCCGGCAGTCAGATTCATGGATCAGAAAAGGACATCACAAATATATCTTATAAGCCCCAAGCCGACAAAAAATAGCACTTTATCTAGGTATTGCAATCTCTCTTATCAGACAAGACCTCAGTTCTGTTCCTGGCAGCACACCCTTGCCACCACCAAGTGCTGAGAAGTGTTCATCTATGGGACGACACAAGAGGGCTATTCAGGCACACACTACCTATACCACAGCTATGCCCTCAGACACCCAGCCAGCCACCAATACTGGTATTTGTGCCAAATACATTTGTACACCAAACTCCTGCCACTCTGCTGTCTGACAAGAGCTCGCTACAAGAATACAAATTGATAAACCATGTCTGGAATTTTCAATGGTGCCTAGCCAGTCAAGCAAAACAGCCAAATTAAAAATTAATTTTTGCATATGTATCAAAAAAGTGACTTCAAAACTTCTCTAATCCTTTAGGCCATATTCAGCACAACTCAATTCAAAAATTGTAAAGTTTATCTGAAAAAAAAATAAATGTCTGCTGAAGTTTGAAAATGCAGCTCTAATATACGCAGCAAAATCAAGGAGAAATAAATATTTTAGAACTATTATATAATTAGCATAAATATTTCATAATAGAGCATTTGCATATTTTATAGCAAATTTTTCTAGTTATCTATATGAAGTATATATTATGCTTCAGGATTAGGACAAATGGAAGAAATGCTATGAGGAACTAACATTTACTGCAGATAAAATCAGGAGAAACATTATATGAGCAAGAGAAACACAATGGGAATGAAAAAATGCTGGTAGTGGAAGTATAGGATGGGAAGCAACAAATGGCCAATCCTTCCATAATTCTCAGTAACACCTTGCAGACAGGCATAACATGAAATCTATGTGCTTTTGCACATACTAGAATTAAATTATTCATCCTCTCTTATGAGTTACAGCTTGGCAGACAACACACCGGGTAAATTCAGTTACACAAAAGACAGTTCTCTAACACTCACGCCACGTTTCCAGCTGGCATTTTCCTTATTGCTCAGCGGAGGCTGGCAGTGTTACAAGCTTTCTACCCAAGTTCAGTAAAGACATACTGAAACAACGACAAAGCCAGGGGACACTGTGACTGTGTAACAACATAGTTCTGTCATTTTTCCTCTACGGTCCGACATTACAGATCTCTGTAAAGCGTCTGACATATGGCACCTACCAGACAGGTTACATGCAAGCTAAAAACACAAGACCTCAAGAGATGTGCAAACCGATAAAAAAGATCTTCATTACTGACTCAGGGAAAACACTCAGAATTACCCCAATTATGTATCTGTACGCCAATCAGCCTCACTTAATTGCCCACAACCTACTACATAGTAGCCAGCAAAGCAGGAGCTGGACAGAATAACTCAGTTGAAAACAAAAGATCGGAGCAGCACCATGTTTTTGTGTACTTAACGTCAACCTGAACACAGAGATAAATGCTAACAGCTAAGAGAATACTGTCAGGTAAAGTTTCCAAATAGATTATGAAGCAAAATACCCTCTCTGGATTTGTTTACTCAAACAGTTCAATTCTGAGCACGCCATCAAAAAGAATCAGAACAGAAAAAGCAGAACTTGTTTTAAGGTAACAAACTAGACAAATATATTGCTGTTCTCTACATACGGCAGCCAGCAACAAAGCAGTTCAATACCTCAAATAATAAAGGTACTTTGTATTGAAAGTAGAATACACGGCATTCCGTAAAATAAAAAAAACACTAAGTAATTTAAGCAGGCACTAAAAGGAAAGTGTTTACACAATATTGTAATACAGCTATAAACATTTTTCATTATGATGTGTTCCTTAAAAACGACATGTCAAACAAACATATATTACTACACATTCAGAAAAATGATAGTGTTTTCCTAATACTAAAGCTGTTATCTTAAGAACTGAAGAAGAATGTATTATTCCGATCAGAAAACAGAAAAATCCATATTTTGCTATGGAACGAACAGTCTAACACAATACTGCACATTATTTATTACGCAGTAGCACCAGGTCCCGTATCGCCACCAAGCATACGCTGGCAGTCAAGAGTAACAGTCAGTTACTCCCCTTTCAGGCAGCTGTTACCACAACTACAGTTAGCAGAGGCAGGAAGAAAAACAGGGCATAAACCTTAACCACAAAACTCATGTCATTCTGCAGTCCCAAAGAAAACCTATTTCCTGCCGTTCACTCCATACCACGCTGACCATTTCCGAATGAAGGGGCAGCTTCATAACAGAGTGATGTTAAATTGACTTGACTGCAAAAGGGGGAAGCCATCCTATTTACACCTGGAACTAAGCTTTACTATCAGATATAAATGCGCATATCAGATGCATGTACTCCTACTCCATGATGAGGTGGAAAAAGAGCAGAGAGAGTGTTTGAAAGTATATAACAGAAAAATAGTCTTCACTCAGTAAGTGATTTGCTTTAAAGACTGTCTCATTTGTGGTCCCAAAGCATATAGACAACAATGAATGCTCAAACGTAACTGAAAATAGAAAAACCAAGAGCAGCATCCAGTCTTAAAACAGTTCTAAATGAAGCAATAAGAAATAAAATAGCTCTCCTCACAAAACAAAACACTTATAAGTAATTCATGATGACCACCTGTACCTGCTTTTACAAATTTATAACGAGAAGCAAGGGAGCTGCAGTAGCTACTCATGTCCTAGCAATTTGAGCTGGAAATCTTCGACAAGCTCCATCACACCATGACACCCTCTGAAACTGTGAGGATAAGCTCCAAGTAGGAAACAGACACTGTTCATTTCTTGGGCAACTGCTACAATCAAAGCAGCTCATAAAGATTTACTTCTCTGTATCAAGAAGGAGAAAATTCTCTTAATGTTCAGTCATACAGCCTAGTTGTCACTTATTTTAATGAGTGCTAGAGGAAGGAAAAAGAATGAGATACAGAACAACTAATCACTTGGTTTAAATAAAAACCCTTTTCATCTGGAGTCTGAAAACATAGGGATCTCTAAGTAGTATGCTGGAAGGACAGAAAATATTAAGGGTCAAAAAAATTGACATTGTCTCCTAAGTGAGCAAAATAAAAACAGGAGGGCTTCAACAGCAGCAAGGCAAAAATCTCAGATGCACAGGAAAGGCCCCAAGAAAATGTCAATAATGTCCATAGTAAAAGTGGCACCTGAAGATGGTTAAATCACTTCAAGAATATAAATCACATAAAGACATAAAAAGCTATGTCGTGTTACAGAATTAGAGTTTGGAAAAATAGCAGCTAAAAATCATGCTGAACCAAGCTAATAAATATTCCTCACACCTTCCAGAAAGCAGCTGCTAACCAGAAAGAAAAATGCTTTTACTTGCAGCAAGATCTAAAACGACCCAAAAAATTTTAGTGGAAAACAGTGGTGAGTACAACTCCACTACCAGGCGTGAAATAAATGCCCCCAAAATATATATGGAATAGATGCATCATTTCACATCAATGCAGAAAAAATGTAAACCAGTAACAAAACAGTGTTTTGTCTCCTCTGAGACAAATACAAGAAAGCTACTGAGAATGTAACCATCAGGACAGGATAACTTAAAAGACAGTGTGCAACAATTTATAGCCAATACTGAAATATCCGATACAACACATATACTACAGCGTATATGCTTACAGTATAATGCTAGGGCACGCTTATTATCAAGCTAAGGATGCTCTGTGAAGGCATGCCTTTTTGTGTCCTTTTGCCTTAACATGCACCTTCATGCAAGATTTCATGACTGCTAGGCTAGACCAAATATTGCTAAATTAATTTCTAACAGTTATCTATCCCTATATGTCATATAGATCATCTTCACCTTAAGAAAATAAAACCCGACAGATAGTCAGAAGACCCAATGGCATAAGAGAGCAAGACAGAACAAGCCAGTGTGAGTAAGATTTCTCTCTAACAATTGCAGCACTGTAAAGCTCTTTTACTGCAAGGAGCAGCCAATGTCTTCTCCAGCGTTTCCTCTTCTGTTTCATCTTGGAAGGAATAAAAACAAGCAACAGTTTCCTAAAGGTCCGATAAGTATACTTGGAAACACATCCACTAACTTCAAAACCTGCAGGCAAGTTTGGCCTTTGCTATCATACCAGCTGTACCTTCATAAATTCATACTTAGAGGAAACAGAGATTGGATTTAACAGAATTATATGCTGAGTTTGGAAACACTGCAAAATATTTCCAAAATAAAGATATCTGAATCTATCAGGAGCTCTACAGTTTTGCTTATTCCAAACATTTTAATTAACGAAAACAAATAGAGAAAAAATATTTCAGTTCCTACCAGCCAAAGCTGCATCCTCATCACTTTCGGATCCATACTGCAATGCCATGGTTATTGCTGATAAACGATCCCCTTGGGCTGATCTTTTGTTACTATAAAAGAGAAAAACAATTGCAAAACTAAAAATAAAAGAGTTATCATGTTAACCATTAGCAGTCACCCAGAGTGGATAAGTAAACAAGCGAAGCTCAGGACAGTTGCCTGCATTATCAGGAGTGCAGACACGACTATGCAGGAGAGTGGAGCCCTTAACAAGAGAAACTATTAACGACCCAAGAGTCTGTCTCCATTTGAGGCGGGCCATCAAACTGAAAAACCGGGCACACAATCAGAAAGCCAGAGCTCAAGCTACCTTCTGTCCTATTTTGAATATTTGAGTATTTGAATTACTGGGGAAGAAGGAGGATGATAGCAAGTTACTAACTCTGCTATTTGGCCCTGTTTTATAGGGATTTGTCTACATGAAGGAATTCAGGACACTGTTAAGCTGTACATGCTGCCTTCTCCCATTCCCCCTTCCCCACCTTAGACATTTTCAGCCCACCGAGTGCTGTATGTGAAACAGCTTCCTCTGCTTTCTCAGTAGAATAAATCAGTGTCCACACCAGCATCCCTCTCCTCCTCCGTTTTTTCCCAAACCTGGGGCACAGCATTTCATACCTACACCCTAGGCTACACCTGACAATCTCTGCTTTTTTATTACGTCAGCTCCTTAGGCACCTCCAGCAATGGGCTCAGCCTTGCCCTGGGAGAGCAAACTGCAGGCAGGGAGAAAGCAGATGGCTGGCTTCAAACGGCACCAATTCTATGCAAATGCCTTAAAGAGCCCGGCAGCTGCTGTGCTAAACCCTGGTTTCCGAGCATGCACGCAGGGATCAGCCCAGAGTAGGACTGCTTCAAGGCAGTAACCCACAGACTGTAAACACAAGACTTCTGCTAGGCACCAGAACTCTCAACTGATGACAAAAAGAACAACCAAAGACTCCAGCAATACAGCCTACTCAGCAAGTTTGCCACAAATGCACCCCAAGTGCAATTCTTGCTTTTTACAGGCTTCACTGGCTCCCACCATCCATCTCTCAATTATTCAGTCCTACTTATTATTTCTTTTTAGTCTCCAAATATAATTTTTCTGTTTACAACACATTTCTATGTTTTCTTCACCTGCTTTATTTTATAGTGAAGCCTAACACTTTGTCCTTCAGAACATTTCTAATGAAATAATTGCATACAGAGTATTTCATGACAGGTGTTTTGAAAAGTGAAATACAAAATCAAACATGGAAGAGTAATTACAGCAAAGTAACTTATTAAAACGCACTTAATAGATAGAAATATGTTTGAAGCTCAAAAGTATTAGAGTCAATACTGAAGAGCACTCTCAACAAAAAGACAAAAAAACAAACAAAATCCCCCAAACTTTAGTATTTCCATACGATGATGACCCAGCTTTTCCTCCAAGTCCACAATTTACTTACCGATAATATTTGTTAGAAGAATTTCTCTCATCACCAACACTGCCTTTACCCTGTGAGGAAGGACCTGTCAGCTTGGAAGCAGTCAAATTTGATGGAGTCCTTAAGGTAGAAGAGGCAAGCCAAGCAAAGGGGAAAAAAAGAGGCCCACCTTAGACCCAGCAAAAGATGCAGCAAGGATAAAGCGTTTTACAGAATTGCTTTGATAGATCAGCCGTAAGGTTCAGAGACAGATATCAAATGTTCTAAAGCTAAAAGTAAAGCAGTGCTAAGATACATTTAGTGTCTCAGCATTATTATCGATTTTGTTTATAAAGTCAGAGGAAGGCAACATTTAGATTAACGGCCATAAGCACAGATCAGCCTACAATAGCAGTGAAAGCAGCCAACAAAGTGCTCCTTAGCATCCAGATAAAGCTAATCGCACAGATCCAATCATGTTTTATCACTGCTTAACAAAATCACTGTCAGGTTTCCTGACAGTGCATATTGTCAAGCAACCTTATTTTGCCACTTTTTTTAAGGGAGGACAGTTAAATGCACCAACAAAGAGCGACTTAGTATGACAAATGATACAATGAACTCTAGAATAGAAAAATGTGATTTCTGACACAAAGGCAACACATCTTTAGAACTTATGTTAGTGGTGTTATGATGAATTTGAGCCTGATCCATCAAAGACAATGAAAATCAGATGTAAATTCAGAAGAAAAAATATAATAAATTAAATTAACTTATGGGGCTATGAGTGAAGGTGACCCCCTTTGAGACAATTAAACTGTTAGGAATTTAAATAAAAAAAAATGATGAATTATTCTGGAATGCAGATTCAGGAGAAAGAAACAACAAAGAAAGAATAATGGCTCGCTAAAAAAAAAGCAGTCAGTGAAATGCAGAACAGCAGGTGAAAGGTTTGGTTTTCATGTTGCTTTTCTTTCACCCCAAACTTTTTTTGCATTCAGCCCAATATTATTGAAGCCTGCTTCAGGACTTATAAATACTTTATTTTTGCTTGTCAAGTTAGAGAAACAAAGAAAGGAGCTGTCAATTACTCTGACATTCAAACTGAGAGAGTCCAGCACGGGGCCACTGTGATGATGAGGGGACCACAGCATCTCCCATACGAGGAAAGCCGGAGAGAGCTGAGGCTGTTCAGTCTGGAGAAGAGGAGGCTGAGGGGGGTCTTATCAATGCTTCTAAATTACCTAAAGGGTGGGTGTCAGGAGAATGGGGCCTGACTCCTCTCAGTGGTGTCCAGTGACAGGACGAGGAGCAATGGGCACAAACTGGAAACCAGGAGGTTCAGCCTAAACATAAGGAAATCCTTCTGTACTGTGAGGGTGACAGAGCCCTGGCACAGGCTGCCCGGGGAGGGTGTGGAGTCTCCTTCTCTGGAGACATTCAAAACCCGCCTGGACGCCTTCCTGTGTGACCTACTCTGGGCGGTCCTGCTCTGGCAGAGGAGCTGGACTAGATGATCTTCAGAGGCACCTACCACTCTGTTATTCTGTGATTTGCAGACCTAGTCAGAACACAGTACACAAGAGGACATCTAGAATAGCTGGGAAGTGGAAATGGGTTGGCAGTGCAAGAGAGGAATTCAGCTAACAAATATCAGCGTGATTTATCTGTCAGCCCTTCTTATGCAAACAGTTTTACTTTGGAGAAAAACAGTTAAGCCTGAAAATTAAGCTTATGTGACATCCTGAGCTTCATCAATGGCAAACACAGTGAGAAAAATAAAATCGCAATTTAAATAGAAAACCTCTATGCCTGTATGTAGCAGTAGTTACGGCAAAGGAAACACGTATGTACATTCAGTGTCTGTAGAATCAAGGTATTCTAGCCCTACACATATTTTTAAAAAGGAAAATTATTAAAATATGTGTCAGGAATTACTCCCTAACAGGATTTCTGCTTTTATATTTTTATATCCTCCAATAATAATTCACCCAAACATGGGAAGCACACTAATGCCGAGTAAGTGAATGGGAAAAAAACACCCACATAGGTTGAATGCCTCAAAGCACCAAACAGTAAAAATCAAACGAGGTAACTTTCATTTCTTTCACCCGTAATAATTCCAGGCAATATTTTTTTAATACTGACACCATCTATATATTTTTCAGGAAAAAAAAACAAACATCCAACTTTAAGCTGTCTTTCAGCAAAGTAAGGGAGCGCTAGTGTTTTCAGTTGCAGCATACAAACTTTTGCAGGAAACAACAGCAGTAGTTTTCCTGCACCAAATACCAATACATAGCTCAAAGGAGCCTACTAACTCCTTGAATGATTGCAAGACCTTGCTTTATTTTTCAGATAAATGACATGACTCATACTAGCAATTAATCTCAGCTTACTTCTGAGTGTAACTCAGAAGTAAAAAGTTTATACAAGAAGAAATCTAAATGCATTTCATATAAGAAATGTCTAAAATGACTGCATTGCTTCTATGTGCACTGTGCATTTTCACAGGAAGAAAAATGCTGTTTCCTAAATAAAATCATTCCATGAAACAAACAGAGCTATCTGGTTTATACCTGCCTGTTCAAGACCAAACCTATGCTTCACTGATCAATAAATCCAGATCTTCAGTCTCTTGTGCCTCTTTCCACAGCTAGAAATTAGTTCTCAAAGAAGAGTTTATACCTTTTGCCTGAGGTCTTGCTTTCATGTTTCTATCCCCATCTAATTAACTGTGAGCTCTATGTTTCAGCTCCTAACAAGGCTGAAGAATATCCATCATTTTTCATAAAGCAAAGCACAACAAAGCACCTTGCTCTTCACTATTCCTTTTCTGTTAACTCATACACATGTGGTAGAAGTTGGCCAAAGCTTAATTTATAAAAGATCCACTGACACTGTTTTTCATAATCAAGTACGCAACACAGAAATATTTCACCACTGAATATACCAATTGAAGTTTCCTTCCAAAAACTATTTTACAATTTATAACTTTTAAAACAAGAACAAATTAAGTTTTAAAGCAATTACTCCCCTCTACTTCCCAGAGATTTTTATATGAGATTATAAAAAGAATTCCATTTGCAGTACCTGATTCGGAGACTTGACTTGGCCAACTCACTGTGCTCTATTTCAGCCTTTTTCATATTAAATATCTTCTTAATTGCATTTGCATCCTGTCAATTAAAAATTTTTTTTTGTTTAATGTTGAAAGTGAAGAATGTTATATGCAAGCACATCCATCTATCTAAAAATCTAAAACAAAAATTAAGGTGTTTTTACATTTTGATACAAAACAATTTCGCACAAGAAACAACGCACAGAACAAAGTCTGCCTGAAATACACCCACAGTAGCCTGTAAACACTGAAGAGAAGCTTTGAGCTAATTTTTTGTCATATTCTTTAAAAAAAAAAATCTACAATTTGCAAATATACAAAAATACTACTTTGAACTGAACAGACAAATTAGTTTCTTTTTTGCATTCAAAAAGTCAGTCATCACCGAGCTTTACAATGCTCGCCCTCTCACATTCGATATCTGACGCTCAGAGTAACAGTTCACAAAACAGAGATTAAATTAAGCATGAAAAAGACAGTAAGTACAATCTGGTCACAAAAATATGTCTAAGAGGACGAGGATCTTCAAAAACTATGCAACGAAAGCATGACTCCAGTTTTGGAGCTTATATTGTAAACCATAAACAGTTCCCGCAGTTTGGATGGAGTGAAGAGCAGAGTACTGCTGCTACCACCTGAACCTGCAGTTTCAGCCTTTTCAACTTCAGTCACAAGTACAGGGGTCCTCCTCCATTCCACAAAAAAAGTCATGTAACTCATCGCAAGATAAAATTTAACTGGAAAAAATAATCTACCTCAAGGAAAAAAACAAGTTACATACACCTCAAATACAGTAAAAGTAATATTAAAAAGAAAAAGCCACTAATAACTATTTTTTGAAATACGCAGATGGAGTCTTTAGGGCCTTATGCTGAATATTCATTTAAGCATCAATGAGCACAGAAAGCAGTAAAAAAAATTTGAACTCAAACCTAGGAACAACTGAAACTAACCTTGAATACTTGTGATCCAGGCTCGTTGTAGGTTTTGGCGTTCTTTGCCAGAAGGTCTATGTCCTTGGCCATGGCGTGAATGCTTTTGTAAGTTCCATTCTACACAACAAAAACAAGTGGTTAAACTGGCAATCCTCAGAGAGCATGAGAACTAAGTCAACAGTAAAAAGAAAGGGAATTAATATCAAATAAAGGGAACATTTATAGTAAAACAAGAATTATCTATAAAGAGGGCAGGTAAACATCTGGAAAAAGTCATAACGAAGGAAAGTTACAAACCTCAGTGCTAAGTCCATCTAGAGCTTACAAGCGCTACGTAAAAAATGAAAAGGTTCTGATAAAATGTTATTTTACCTTTATACTCTAGTTCAATTAGTCTATATGCTCACTATTACATAAAATGCTAGAATTACAGAACACTATTTCAAATCACTGGAGAAGTACAATGAAAAATGCATCAGTACAAAACATCTATTTATAGTACTAGAACAAAAGTAGGTGATGATAATGCACAACGAAGCTTCAATACTTCAATGTTTTACATTAGCAGCACTTGCCAAGGAACTACTTTAAACCATTAAACATCAAGAAACTCAAGATATTCAGGCTCAGTGCCAGCACACTACAGTTTACGATGCTTGATCTCCAACACAGCTACTTCTGCAGCATTAACCCAGGACAGAACGTTAAATCAGCATAGCATCGAGATTTTTAAATAGCGGGCAAAAAACACATTGCCCTTCCTAATGCCCCAAACTTTGGCTTCTCACAATTTTAGCAGTTTACTGTTAAATGACTCTATACATTACTATGGTCATACTGTACCTGTATCCTTTGAGCAATAGTTTTAAGATCTATAGGCTCCTTTATTATTGCATAATAATCTGGATATTGCTGAAAAACAAAAAATAATTTATATCTTACTAGAAAGAGTCACAAAGATATTGTTCTAATAGCTCATAGAACAGTGTAAGCTCCATAGACATAGACTTCAATTTAGGCAACCCAGATCATAAGGCAGGTACAAGGAATTATGATTCATCAATAAACCGACATAAAGGAACAGTTCTGTCTGAAAATCAAGTATGTGGTGATGGTCCCCAGGGTATTTATTTTGCTGGTTAAACTTGCTATGCCACACTCTGAAACAGAAGAGTGAAGTCAGATATATTTAAAAAGATTAACCACTCTGCATCAAAAAAACTCTGATTTTTCTGCCAGCTGAACTGGCAGAACAGGGCAAGCTCAAGTCTACAATGAATGGCTGGGAATGAGGGGCCAGGAGCAAGGAAGGGAGGGAAGCTCTAAAAACAACTGGAGTTTGCTGCTGATGAGAGGGTAACAAAGAACTGCATCCTGAGTGTGCCCATCATAGTGTGTAACAGCAGTCATATAAACGTCCAGGTTTCCAACTTAAAACACAACCAATACTATTAAAATACCCACCACTTTAGAAGGAAGTTTCTGAAACAGTTCGCTTATGAGGCGTCCTGATGGGTTTGTGGCAACAGCTACAGCTTCAAGAAGCTGTTCAAGAATTTCCTTCAGGTAACCTGGAGATGACTAATACAAGAAATTAAATCACAATAAGTTTTCATAGCAGCCATAGCAGAGCCCTTCGAGTTGCACTGAAATATATGAATTTACCTTCTGAAGACAGAAAAAACAGCTACAAAACACAGATGCAACTTCTGAAAACAACAGTGTTTATGCATTTAGGTAAAGCACGAGAGAAACTTTTAATTTCACATTTACACTGCAAATTGTCAGACACACATTACATATTGCTCGAATATTTCAATGTTAATGAAAACATGCACCCCAACAGCTCAAAAACCAGACACGCCTAAAGTTCCTATCACCGCATCTGGCTTATAAAAATACCTCAGGAACAGCTGCACTAACTGAATGGGACACATGCCGGAAAATTATATCACTAGAAATGAAGCTTGTTTGCAAGAAACCCCAATGTTGGCGTGATACCGAGCACACATTGTCTGGGATTCAACTAAACCAGAACCATGTTTTATCCATATCAGAAAACCTCATAACTTTTTTTGGTTAAGCAAAAGTGAAACACACACAGAACACTGTGAAACTATGAACTAATAAACTTGTGTAAAAAACAGCTCTCAGGGCATCATTTAACTCTGAAAATATTTAAAGATTTTTCATATATGGAAGCCAACCTCTCTCTCAGAGTCAGCTGACACACACAGCCACGGCTTCCTCCAACTGTAGATGTTGTGCTCACACTTACTAATTCAGAATTTGTGCCTTGATTGTCATGTCCTTCCTCATCTTCGTCTTCATCCTCAGCATCACCTTTCTGAACAAATTCATTTTTTGTGCGCAAATACAACTCCCATAATTTGCAGGCAGCTTTATATTCAGGAGAATCAGGCTGCAAAAACAAAGCAAACATTCTACTCAGAATCCAGACTGTTCTTATCTGAAGGATATTTATAAATTATTAGTTGAAAGGTATCAAACATATTACATAAATAACAGAAAACCTGGGAAATTCCTCCTTCAGTCATTCTTCAACTGAGATGTTAAGAACCGCAACAAGCACTAGAAAATAAAACCTCTACCACTCCCAAGCATCTAAGTCTGTCAGAAAACTGAGCAATAAAAATATTTGGGTTGAGGCCTGGACAAGTCTATTAGATGAATCCGGAGAAATCAGTAAGTTTTCCTGAAGCATAACACTACTGATACTCAAAAAACAGACTAAACATCAGGATGCCAAAATCTGATTAAAGCCAATACTGTTGCCATTGGATGGCACTGGAAATTAATTTCTACAGAAGAATGCCAATGCACTGCAGTGATTCACGCTCAGCATTAACTGTGAAATTCCAAGGAACCTGACAACGTGTTACCACCTGGGGACACATTTATGTGTATTTTTTCGAAAAGCATTAATCAGCAAATTAAGTTTTCTAAGTACAGAGTTGGCAGCTGCAGACAAGCATGTGCCTACTGACATTACCACTTAAGAACATTACCCAGAAAAAAGACTGCTTTTTCACTCCTGGGCATTATTCTTTCCCTTTCCCTTGTCACTTAACCTCTATTTCAAGTATTCCTGCAGATATGTCACCTTATTACTGCTGATTACATCCTTCTTACTTCACTCCCTCAACCTCTGAGAGCTTGTAATACAAGTGAGAAACCAACATGAGAACTATTCTTAAGATTACCTTATTAGGCTTAAATATTCTCCAGACATTAGACCAGGTGTTAATTAAGAGGAACGGATTTAAAGGTTATTCTGCTCCACTAGTCTGGTGTCCTCTGTATTAATGATGCAAGATGCTCAAAAGTGCATCGACTTGAATCGAAACACTAAAACCCCAAACGTTTCCCTTCTAATCCAGCACTGCCAATAAAACACCTGCTGCAATAAAGACCTTGACAACGAATCGGCCGTCCCTGTTTTGTATGTGTCATTGGAACTGAACGGGTAGGAAAAAGATGAAAAAAGGTTATGTTTGTGTGCTATACTCCCAGCTCACAACTCCCTATTTCTCTGGAAATGTCCACACTCCTTCATTCTAGAACGATGACTACCTAGTCCTATTCTACATACAAGATTTTTAGGATACAGACATAATTTTAAGTCCCCTATTCTGTAGGCAAAGACAGCACACATTCTGTATCTTTGCTGCCATCAAGTCTTCCTCCCTCATACAGAAATCATGAAGAAGCCAACATTAATGACCAAGTGCCCTGTACAGCTCCAGAAGTACAAAATTAATCTGGAAATCTTTGTACTTTTTCTACTGTAACCAGAACGTGAAAATGCATTCATCTATAAATCCGATTTTTTTTTAAAAAGCTACATACACAAACAAATGTAAACAAAATAAATACTGCTTTTCTGAATGTCACCTGATTACGTTGGTTGGGTTATTCAGAAAGCAGTCATCTGGCTTATCTCCAAAGTCAAAGATATATGAAGGGTAATATTAGCAGTTTTAGATTTGCTGCATCATCTCAGTCACAATATGCAACTTCACTGTTCTATGTACCTAATATTGCCTTCTATTAATCAAGATAATTTCAATTATTTCCCACTTCCTTACCGCAAGTGCAATAAAACCCATTAACATCTAAAATAAAACACATACCAGTTTGGGAGAATGGACGTGGGGAGTTGCACCCCTGATGAAATACATCGTCACACAAACTCGCAATCCATCACCACTGATCACGATAACCAATGTGCCTTTTCTCATACTACTAAGTGGTCAATGGAAGAGCAAGTTTCAGTGCTACTACGGTATGACTGCTGTTATTTATAAGCTCTTCCTCTTGGGAAAAAAAATCATCTTTTTCTATTTCAAAAGGTTACACGGTGTGTTTTGAAAAGGGAAAGCTTTTATAGAAGAATATTTTTCTCAGTCTATACCTCTACTTTTGCTTTCTATCTCTTTTGGAAACCTAGAAGAAAAGCCTCCCCACATTATTTTACAGTTTTCCACAGAAAAACTGTTATAGTAAGACAGCTTTTGAAGATACAGAAATATACATACGTAACTGCAACATGTGCTGTTCTCTTATCAATAATAAAAGACGTAGCTGAGAAGTTTTTTGGCCAAATCAAGGAAGAACTTATATCACTTTTACAATTAACTTGAGCTTTTATACATATTTTTCTCACCTTATAGTAAGCCTTCGCGTTGTTAAAGAGAAGCTGAAAATCAGCAGTCAGCACATTCACATCATCATACTCCTCCATCTTTAGCTTTTGCTGGATTTTCATTAAATCGATTGGCTGAGAAACCACCTCATAATAATCTGGCTGATTTCTGTTGCAATGACAAAACCAGGCGTTATATTCCATGTGGTAAAAAAATCCCACAGCGCTAAGGTTTTGTACATGTCCATGACTAAATAAAATGCAGAAAGTTCCAGTACATTTTTGTTACAGCTAAAAGATCTGGACAGTGGTCTATTGGTAGGCTTTCTTTACTACGTCGTAATGGCTTAACCAGAACCACGGTCTTACCTTCGCTTCGGTGCCCTAATGAAAAGCTCACAAAGGAGCCTGCCCTGCTCATCTTTGTAATCTCTGATGGTGTTGTAAAGCTCATGGCATACAGCAATCTAAAAGGCAAGAACAAGAAAGTAATGAAAAAGGAGAAAATGTTAAGCCCACTTTCAAGGGGAACGACAAGCTGCCACTCCACAGTGTGAAGAAACTGGTGCACCTCGTACATCAGTGTGATACCTGACAAGTAGGCCAGCTACTGCAGAACCTCAGTTGATTTTTTTGAACACAGCAAACTTTCTTTCAATGCTAATTCTAAGCAAAACATCCAAAAGGTAAATTAATTCAGTACAATTCTCTCGAGTTATAGACATCTAAAACACCGACAGGGGTTCTTCTGCCCTGCAACTAATTAAAATTAGACTGCTAACTCAGAGGCATAACAGTGACATTGTACACACTTCAGCAATCACTGCCTGTGCTGTTCCCTGCTTCTCTCTCTCCGCATTTGCTACTCAGACACAGCTCTCAACTTCTGCACAGTAGGACTTCAGCTACTTCTCCAACATCCTTCCATCTGCTAAAATCATCAGCAAAAAAAAAGAAAAGCAGCAAAAGGAAAACGAGAAAGATGAAACTGGGCAGACAAGAACAAGCCAAAGCTGAACAAGACCCAAAACAAAGCTCAGCCAAGGCAGCAACGGATTCAGGGCAAGTGTGTACGTGCTACATACAATCACTCATTTTACAATCCAGCATTGCTCAGACAGGGATGCAGTATCCACAAGAACAAAAGGCTGTGCATAATAAGAAGGTACTAACAGGATCTACAGTTGGGAGGTTGGAAAGTCTCCTCCTCTTTCTGCTTGGGCCTGGTATATTTGTGGAGTGGTGGCCATCATCAAAGTCTCCTCCGCTGACGCTGCTGGAAGGAGAGGTAGCTCTTCGCCTCTTGGAACCCATGGAATCCAACTTCTTCTATAATGAAGAGAGATGTTCTTAAACTCATGGCATTGCACCCAAACTCTATGGTGAGAGCTAACTACAAAGCCTTAGGATAAGTCCCATAACGTTTGCTGTGTACTACAGTTCAGTTAAGCCATAAACAACAGGTTTTTGAAAATCGGCAAGAGTAAGGGGAAACCAAAATGATCCCACAGCTTTCTAGTCACTGCTGAGAGCAATGTCAGAAGCCTCGGGCTGCTCACAGTGATGAAGACGAATTCAGCAGCTCTTTTTAGGCTATGCTCTTAAACTACCTACATTCTGATACCTCGTCCCATGAGCGTTAACTACGCGAGAACCACAGCTTCAGAGGAAAAAGTCGTACAGAGACATGTGCTCAGTTCTGGTGTAAAAGCATGTCATTCCATGTCAAATTAAAACAAACAAACAAAAACCTAACAAACAAATAAAATCCACAAACAAACAAAAAAACCCCAAGTAAACACAAATTTCAAATGAAAATTCAAATGGCTACTGAATACCTTGTCTTAGATTCAAACCAACAAAGGGTCTGGGCTATTGTGTGACCTACCTCTCCCACTTTCCATGCAGGATGAATGGCTCAATCATCAAGAAGAAGAAAAAGCCATCTCCTTTTTCAGCTATAGTTTTCTATTTACCAACACAAAGAGTTACAAATTAAAAACTACCATCCAACAACCATGGCAATTTATGGAACAAATTGTTGGCTCATTCCCAGCTTCCATTGACAGCATCTGAGAAAAATATCTTTATCTGTAGCTTCTCAAAGGCCAAAGACAGAATAGACCCATCTATCCCAGCTTGTACCCATTTTCCAACCAAATCAAGGAATTTCTTCTAGGAAGGACTCAGCTGATTGACAAGGTATGGCAGCACAACATAACCGCATCACAGCATTTATGTTAGACATAGAATTAACTTCAAACACACAAATGAGATGAATAAGAATAAGGCAGGAATAATTAACAGTTAGGATAAAGAAAATCAAAAGCCCAGAGAAGAGGAACGGAGAGAATGGCGCACATATAATCAATAATTTACCAGATTTACCAGAGTACAACCAGCACCTCGAAAAGCCAGTCTCCTCATAGTGTCTGATGGTCAAGAACAGATAGTGGGAGAAGATAACACTCTAAGAGTAGCAAACCAGCAATGGTGTTAGTACAGTCAAAACTGGAAGACAAGAAAAAGGAAAGAGAGAGAGGAAAATTGAGACTAGATAGAGAATTAAAGAATAAAATCAAAGAATAAATTGAATAATTACAGTGACAGAGAAAAAAGCGCAAGAAACAGAAGGTAACTTTTTTTAGCCTAGGAGAAACTCTGCAAAGCAATTTGGTACACAGAATGCTAGACATTTTTGTCATTTTTATAGTAAAAACATATTTCTCAAATGTTTTGGAATACATATTACAGATTTCACAGTCACTTGCTAAAGAAAAAACAGAGCAGGGAGTAAACACAAGTGATACCTGACCTGAGAGTAAAAAACAGAAACAGTAAAACTTACAGAATGCAAAGTATTAGTGTTTATATCAATAAGGGGAAAAAAAACAAGTAAAGAAATATTTAATAGACTCTCTAGTAACGATGCACCTCTATCAGTCTACAGAGTAGATTTCTATCCTCATAAGGAAGTGATATTAAGCACCCAGCCATACAAGTTCACTGAAGATATGCGTGTTTTAATTTCTAAGCAGTCTTCGAGTCTGATTTTTTTCAGATAATCCATGTGAAAGGTACAGAGTTGCTTTATGGCAAAACAACTGCTTCTATTTCGTTCATTAGTAGTCGAGACAACTACTGTCTTCAACCAAACCCCAGAGAGACTGTTCTCCTGTTCGGTATTCTGGATGTTCTCGTAACATGCACATACAGAGAAACCCTGTGCTTTATTAGCAGGCCATTCATCTCAGAAACAGTCCGACAGCCTGGCGTTTTTGGCACTGCCTCCAACTTTTATCTGTGAGCTACAGTATCGAATGGCTAACACCAGGCGCGTGCTGATGTGGAGGCTGCTAGAAAACACAAGTACTTGGTTATGAAAGAAAAGCAGGAGGGACTACTGGAATCGCTAATTCTGGTTCACCCAGGAACCAAAAGTACACTCAGTTCAACCCCATCCTGAAATAAAGATTTGGGGACAACCAGCACCTGCCTTGCAAACCGCACATAGGCTTCTCCGTGTCCATTATCCGAGGCGCGCACGCTGTGGCCCTCAGCCATCCGCAGACGCTGGCGTACGCTTCTGCGATCAACACACCTGGTCGATCTGTACACAGCCTCCAAACACATTTTTCTCCTCTAATAACCGTATCAGTCTGAACAACGTAACAAACACTCAGTGAAGGAACTCCTTCCATAAAACTCCTACTAAATGTCAGGCTCCAAAATGCAAACTTTTCTCTAGATCTCCATGCTCATAAACACAGCTAATCCTGCGGTGTGCAGAAATGTGTTCTGTTTTATTTAGGAGCACGTCTCGTAGACTTTCTTCTGCAATGTAACTGCTGGCTCACGAGCCTCCTAACAATCACACAAGAACCTCTACTGCTACAAACAAGCCATCTCCTGTGCAACAGGAGCTTGAGCATCTCTTAACAATTATTCACACTGCACACAAAAATCTCACATAACTGCAGACATCTCTGTAAGAAACGCTTTTGCTATTGCTGACATACACATATGCTAATATATACACAGCGGATGGAGGACTGTCTCTCCTGAAAGCCACACAGACCAGCCACCACCAGCACTACCCAGTCTAACCTCACCAAACAAACAGTTTTTATGTGCATTTGAAATAACATGCTTAAAATAAGCCAATGAGGTTCTAGCACGAATTTCATTTTCTGCCTCCGAGCAGAAGAAAGCTAAAAGCCTACAGATACCACGGTAAGATTTTATCGCTATCAGGATCTCCCACGTTTCCACAGAAATACTCACTAAATGAGAGTAAATTTAGTAAATGGAACAAGGGAGGGAAACACAGCCAGAATTTCCCCCGATTACCAGTCGCGTTGAATTCAGCCACAACCTAGGAAAAGGGGGACGGCAGCAGCCAGACGCTATAAAAGGACAAAGTTGGTGGGAAGCGAGAGGCACTGCACATCCATCGTTTTACCGACGCCGGGACAAGAAACAAAGAGGCAAAACGTCCAGTTCCCCCAAAGCGCCCCGCAGCCA